TGCGTATGCGTGGAAGCGCAGAATTCGGCAAAACCGGGTAAGGAGCGGGTGCGGGCGCGCGCGGGCGCGGGGGGGGGGGGGTTCGCCATTCCCGGAAGTTACTTACTTCCAGGTTCGGCGACCAACCAGATCGCGGGGACCGCCGCGAACCGGTTGAAACCCACCCCTGCTAGTTTCAGAGGAAAAAATGGAAAATGGGTGTTTCATTCTCCCATACATAAGGGCAGGAAAATCAGAAATGGCTTTACTTTGTTGCTGTCTGTCAGAAGATAATTACATATACAATAAAATAAAACATAACACCTTTTACACAAATCAGTCACTTCTTTCTATTTAAATTTAGAAAATGCCCCTCAAACTCGGTTTATATTCCACCCCAGGCAATTAAAAAAATATTTTTCCATACTTGAAAGATAGATCAAATCTCATGATGTTCGTCCATCATGTTTGAAGAGAGCCTTGACATTTAACAGGTTGTGGGCTGTCCACAATGTGTCTGCAGCTGGCTAGTAAGGCCTATATGGGCATGAAATTTTCTGCCACATGTTGGGCCGACGTGTGCAGCATTTGCAGCTCTGGCTTTGTGGAGTGCTTGCTTCTCTTGTGCTATGGTTGTTCTTTTGTCCTCAGATGTCTGGCAGCCTTGGTGGATCAGTGTGCATCACATCGATCAATCTTGTGCCACAATTTCCCAGGAGGTGGTGTCAATATACAGGGACTTGAAGGAGGCTTTCAACGTGTCTATGTATAGCTTGCTTTGTCCCCTGTGCGATCACTTTCCTTGAGACAGCTCACCATAGAGGAGCTGTTTGGGGATACGATGGTCTGGCATTCTTGCAACATGGCCTGCCCAGTGTGTCTGGGTTTTCATTAGCAGGGTGTGAACTGATGGCAAGCCTCCTCTGGAGAGGACTTCTGTGTCTGGCACTTTGTCCTGCCACTGAATCTTCAGCATTCTACAGAGGCAGGTCATGTGGAAGTGGTTCAATTGCCTAGCTTGCCTCCTGTCCAAATCTCACTGGTATACATCAGGGTAGTAAGCACTACTGGTCGCTAGACTTTGAGCTTTGTAGCAAGGCTCATTCCACATCAGAAATCTAGGACCCAGGCAAACATTGAAATTCACAACTAGAAAAGAGGTAGTACATAAAATCAAGAAATCGCTTAGGCAAAGAACATTGTATACTTGGAACTGTCCTTATCCCATCCCAAAATGGCTTTCGGTAGACCATTGCAATTCACATTTAAATATATGAGGCAAAGAGAATAAATTATTCTCAAGTTTACTTAAGGAATATGCAGTTCAGGTTGCAACAGAACATCAAAGCTCTCAGTGTTTACTTTTCTTGATGGCCCATCTTTCATTGGTCTCTAAACATATTTCTCCTTACTTTACCTCTTTGTACAGAACTGCTTTATGTAATATACATGATAGCAATACTGATTGTTGTACTATAATAGGTGAGGGAGGTGCGACTATTTTTACTATTTGCTCAGAGGATCTCATCACTTTTATTTCTGGGGTGAGGACTGTCTCAGAAAAAAAGAATAAGCATTTGGGCCATATGTGATAATATGAGAAAAAGAATAAAAAGTGGAATAAAAAGCATTGCTAGTGCTGTTAGTTACAATACAATCCAGAATTTTTTGGAGTGGGCAGATATATTAAGTTTAATGAATTAAATTGAAATCATCCAAAATAAATAACATTTGTACATGATTGTTTTCAGTCACAAACATGGTAGATGGAAAAGCTGCTTGGAAATGGGTCAGTCCTTACTTCAAATATAGAACAGGTTACCTCAAATCTCTGGAATTTTCTAATACAAATTCTTCCTTTTTAAATTCTTATTCTTGATTATATTCACCCATGGATATTGAATGCTGATTGAGTTTTCTTGACAGAGTGCAATACTTCTCACAAGCATTCCTCCCAAGAACACTAGCATAAATCTATGAGATAACCATTACATGCTACACTATTACACTAACTGTTCCTCTCTTTTTGCTTCCCAATTGGCTTTTCTAGTTTGCTAGGTTGGGATTTTACTTATTCCTAGATATGGTACATCCCACTGAACTTCCAATATTGATTTCAGTTCCTTTTCCTTTAGGATTGCTTGTTGTGCTTCAGGACACACACACACGCACACATACACTTTCTAATAATCTCTTTGCTATAATCTTCTAGCTCCCATCCAACTAGCTCTCAGGTAGGTAATATTTTGGGACTGAAGCGTTTAAATAGATTATAATTTGGTTATTCCATTCCCATTTAAAACCACTTGGAGACCAATTTCAGTTTGAAAACCTGTACATAAAAATTAAAGCAAAAATCATCTAGCATTCTAGCTAGTATAATCTATGTACTCTGCTCAACTCTTCATTGCTGAACCCTTTCATCAGACATACTGTAGTATTCTTATTACCAGCTGACCCTTACCTTTATAAATATCTAGGGAAAAATAATGCCCATAGGGGGAAAAATACATTAACTGTATCAAGATTGCACTAAACTAAAGTCTCCATATTGGAGGAAAAATCTGTGTGAACAAGATAAGGATTTGTTCCCATCCACATTGTCTATAAATAGAGATTAGGTTGTTTCTGCTTAAAGAAAACATAATGTATGACTGTTTTAAGTTGATATAGCACTATTTTTGACTGTGACACATCTATGAGAAGGCAGTTTATTTTGCTGACTCATGATCCACTTACCATGTCCCTCTTACTTTCTTAATGTTAGTAATGTGAAATAAATAATTATGATAAAGTCATTATCTGGACCTTAAACTCAGCAGGTAAATGCTCCACAAATAAATCCAGCCAACCAGCAGTGAGATACAATCACACAAGTATGATAGGTGGTATAGAAACTTGATAAATAATAATAAAATAAAACAAATATATTGAAACAATAATTTATCACAACCAATATCAAACTCTTATTTTAATATTTGCCTTAAGAAACTATTTATTTTCCTTTCAGCTATTTATGAGCAATCCTGTGAAACTTATCGACACCAAGGAAAAACATCTGGTTTCTTCCATATTGACTCCGATGCAAGTGGTCCACTTCCCCCACTTTTGGTATACTGCAATATAACAGGTAAAAAATCTCACTTCTGTATTTATCACAAATGGTTTATTGTTTATTACATCGCCTGAAATCTATTGCATTGTTGTAAGGTAAAGGTTTCCTATCAGCCATATCTGACTTTAGGATGCAATGCTCATCTCTGTTTCTTGGCTAAAGGAGGCAGCATTTTCTGAAGACAATTTCCATGGCCATTTGGCCAGCATGGATATATGCCAAAGATGCATGGAGTGCTATTACCTTCCCACCAAAGTGGTACCCATTAATCTACCATATTTTTCAGAGTATAAGATGCACCGGAGTATAAGACGCACCAAGGTTTTGAAGAGGCAAATAAAAAAATGCTTTTGCACTCTGCAAACTTCCCAAAAATGGCCCATTTTTCGCAAAAACAGGCTCATTTTTTGTAATTAAAAAAAGAGCATGAATAGCCTTTAGGAAACTTCTAGAGTGCTCCTGGGGGCTGCGGGCAAAAATGGGCTGTTTTTTGCTCATTTCTGCCCTCTTCAACCCTCAGGAGCTCTCTAAAAGCTTCATACAAGCTATGTACAGCCATTTTGGTAAAGGAGGAGGGGTTTTGGGAGGCAAAAAATGCTCTATTCAGTGTATAAGACATACCCAGATTTTCAGCTTCTTTTTTTGAGGGAAAAGAGTGCGTCTTATACTGTGAAAAATATGGTGCTTTCATTTGCATGCTTTCGAACTGCTAGGTGGACAGGAGATGGGACAGTAATGGGAGCTCACCCCATACATGGAGCTCATGGAAATGAGGTGGTTGAAGACAATCAAGGCATGTAGATCTGCAGTGGTGGTATCAATCACTGATCTATTTCAAAACTCTTTCTATGTTACATAAATGTGAAATAATAATATGGTTATTATGGAAAGCAAAATGTAATCAGTGATTTCTCCTTTCTTGAAAGCCAGAACTCTCAAAGTCTTCTAAGGCATACAGATCATATCAGATTTCAGAAATAGAAACAGAACCACAACTTATCAATGATTTATTGCTTTTGTTTGTTCTACTCTTACATTATACTTGTAATAGATGTACGATATGAGGAGAACTGATGCATGATACGGGGTGTGATGAAATAATGATTCCAGACTCAATGGACAGAAGAGGCCAATCAATAAAGGGAAAAATTATCAGCTATGTTATAATGGGATCTACCCCATAAAAAGTTAAGAGAGTTACTGTATATATAGACTCAATGATAAGCCTAACATAACACATAGATGGGCTGTATATATGCTGCTACATCATATGGCAAAACATATGTTTCTTAAATAATAATTTTGATCATTAATTTTGATAACTAATTTCTACAGAGGTAATGTCGGTGTTACAGGAGTGATCAGAGCTGCTTCATACATACTTTAGTCAAAACATTTATATCTGATGGTCACCTGTAAATTCCTGCTTAAATGCATTTTGCAATATTGGGCTGCCTGATGAAATTAAATTCCAATATGTTTTATGTGTTTTTTTCCCATTCTTGGGGAAGGGGGAGGAGAGAGATCTTAAATCTGATCATGTTTTGTTTCATCAAGATGTTATCATATTTGACTCCAAACATGGTTGGAGGATTCCTTTGATGCCTCATTATAATGAGACCTCAGCCTATTTTGATGGCCATTGATTGATTAGCATGAGTCCTTGAGGAAATGTGGTGCAGTGTACATTTCTAATATTGCTTAAAATCAGTTTTCTTGATATTCTATTAGAACCAAAACAAATAGTCAAACTATTCTAATTTTTAGAATCAAGTAAGGAGAAGACATGTATACAAAGTTAGATTCTAATATAAATGTAAAAGGCAATCTGTATGAGTTCTACAGTTCTACATTCTACAGTTCTGTCAGGACCACTAGCCAGTTGAATATTTGGAATATTTACTCCATGGCTTTGGTAGCCTCATATCTGAAAAGCCATTAAAGTCTTTTTCCCCCTCACACTTGCTGCCATGTTAACTCACTAACCACCAAGCCAACCAGCCTGTAACATCCACGATCTTTCCATCCTGTCTCAGGCCTGACTCCCTACATACATGCACAAAGAAACATAATTCAAGGTTTTATGGCAATAGCAGGAAGGGCAGATACATGCATGTTGTCCAACAGTTCCAAATTCCATAAAAAGTTATAGACAAAATCCTAGTAAACAAACTTTCAAATAGCAAGCAGAAGCAACATCAGTCCAGAGGCCATCCTTGCTCAAGCAGTCTGAGTCCAAGAAGATGACATAGTATATCAATATTCTAACAGCAAGCCTGGCTGTGGTTATTCCATTTTTGAAAATGACTCTTTTTATCTCCTGTTTCAGCCCTCCCTCTTCTAGATATGGCCTGTCTGTTCATTCACCGACTTTTTAGACATCCAGGCATGCCTTCAAATCTGATTTCAAGCAAGAGTGTTAAATCCATGTCTCCTTTGCCCATCATTCCCAATCCAATGAAAGAACAAAGAAATCAAATGCTACTTTTCAGCAATATGTGATTATGATGTATAGTAAACTATCAAGAAGACAACTGGTCTTATTTTTTGCCTGTGGCAGAATCAGCTCATTCATTTATTCTCATGTCACTTATTTTAGTTCTGCTAGATAAAAGCCATACCTGAACTTTAAATAATTTACCAACTTCTCAGGAAATACAGTAACTGGAACTTACAAGAGATCTGATGACCAGCCTCAACAGAAATGCCCCTGTGAGAGCTCACCTCTGGCTGTCCATTAGATTCTACCTGTTTACATGACCATCTAAGAATCTGGCCATTAAATTGTTTGGCTCTTTTTTCATTATGTCTATGGATTTATTTATTTATTTAGCATATGGCAAATACATGGAGTTCAAATATTAATGTCCAGTGCACCCAGCCATTCAAGGACAGGGTGGTCTATGTTGAAAAAAAATGGACATTAGGCCAATGTAAGCTCTTGATGAACATTCAGACACAATGTAATGGATATTTTGTCAAGGAGAACTACAGTCACACAACAACTAGTCCTGGCAGACACCATGTTGGGTACGGATCATGTTCAGAGTTGACCAATGCTGGTGAGGAAGACTTGTTTTGTTTATCCATTGCCATGTATTTAGAGAGCCAGGAGTTCTACAAAGATGTCTGACTGCAACTGTCGTTAACTGCCAATTCTACAATGTAGTCTGGATGCCAATTGTTGGTAGTTGTTGGGTTCCATGCTATCCAGGGTGCACCATGAGGAGGCCAACTAGCATCACTCCCCATGTCTATGGAGATTCTCAGTTATCTAAGTCATGGTTGACTCAAAGGTGCTTTTTCATCTGTTCATTAGATCAATCATCTTGCAGTCATCTGAGTGCAAGGAATATAAATTCTTCCATCCGCCACCATTCAGTCAGAACTGAAGAAGTTTCTTGGATGAGAAATGAAATACCTTAAAGGAAAAACAAAGTCCAGTTGCTTTTTTTTAAAAGTACCTTTGGGACTCTTTTCTCATTGTTTTGCAGATCAACTCCATTGCCTCTTTCTATAATGTCCGGCATAATGAAGATACAGTGGATTTTCCATTATTTTCTCCTCATACAGTTCCCCCATTCTCCCTTTCCATTTCTCTGCTTCCCTCCCAACTTGGTATAGATACAGGAAATCGGGGGGGGGGGATATTTTGGCCTCAATGTACAGAAGACACAAACCTGGCTACTGAGGCCCAGAGACACAAATCGAAGCAGTAACATATCCTTCTAGGACCACTCTTAAGAGAGGAGGAAAGGGGAAGGGAAAAGAAGGGCATCTCTTTCATGAAAGCTCAAGATGGAAAATAACAAAATGAAAGTGATGTGATGTGAGGCTGTTTCTGAGAAGGTCAAAAGCAAACCTCCAGGGAGCAGGCTAGTCTATTACAATAGCAAGAGATGGGTAGCAACCATTTCTACCACCATGAAACATCAGTCCATTATTATATGTGGATAGGAAAGACATGCAAAAATAGATTTTACTTCTGTGATTAAAATAAGGTTTGTGACTTGCTTATGGCAATTGCTAGAATTTTTTTCTTAACAGTTTCCTAGTTCTTGCAGTACATTTATATATCAAAAGGTTGTATCCTTGAATCACTGCCTGCAGGTGATTCACTCTCATTCTAGCATCTGCAAAGAAAAGCAGTAAAATTAGAATACAATCTAAATTATAAAGAATCTCAAGAAATATAAAGAAGAAAATAATTTATCTCCCCTGTGCAGGTTCTTTCTCATCTATTATCAGACTTAGAAATGTTCAGTTTTTTTTTTTTTTGAGAACTTAAAATTGTGGGTGAGAAGTGACAGAACAGTTATTCTTCCTAGCCAGAGGTGGGTTTGTACCATTTCAGACCTGTTCGGCTGAGTAAATAGTAACTTGGCCACCCACGCCTCCGAACTGGTTCTATCAGCGGCACCATAGGCGACGCCATCTTTTTTTTTGTTTCTGCGCATGCACAGAAGCAATTTTTTCACTACTGCACATGCCCGAAGTGCATCCCTGAGCAAACCGGCAGTAAAATAATCTGCAACCAACCCCTGTTCCTAGCTCTACCTCCACTGAAACATTGTATGTTGGTGATTGACCTATGAATACAGGGGCATTCCCATAGAGCAAAAAAAAGCCCAAATATCCATACTTAAGTGAGTATGCACATAAATCTGTGCCATAAAGATGTGTGTATATTCACATACATAAACATATCTTCATTGTCTTCTAGTTTTTTCTAGTTTAACCAGTCAAGGAATATAACATAGACTTTAGTGTCCTTGAAGGAGTTGGAGAGGAAAATAATAAATCCATTATCCTTTTTAGTGAGTGAAAGCCACACACTATGCTTTGAGCCAAATTTATTGTAACTGTAGAGAGGGAAAAGACAAGGTTACGTTCATTTGGCAAGGGTGGAGAAGAAACCTACACAGTAGTGCTGCAAACTTGGTCAGATAATGATGTCCCATAGCAACAGCATCCCTTCCTTGGCAACTGAGTTCAATTTACCTTATCTAGTTGTAGCAGATAGTGTCAGCAAATGTTAGCACTTCTACAGCCTGTTTCCTTGCTCTCACAACTCTTTCTTAATGTTTCACTTCTGCTTTATCAAGCTGCACAAAGCTTTCCTATTTTTGTGCTTCTTTGCATCAGGCCCATGCTTTTTAGCAATTGCAGCCATTTTATTAGGCTAAGAGAAGTGTGAGTGAGAAGTGAATGTAAGCCTTCTCTTCCTGGGGATGACCTTGGGAAATGGACTTTGGGAAATTGTATCAGATCTTCTCATGTGCAGTTTCTGCATCCATAAAAACCTAGGCCATATTTCATGTATCTAATAAACTTTTCAAAGGCAACAAAGGCATACAGAAACAATCAAACATGTTTCTTTAATTAATAAGTGAAGTAACCCTATAACAAGATAGTCAGGCTCATTAAAAGAAAATTCAGTTGTAAACTATATTCAGTCATACCATAGGCTATATTGGTTATTAAATTATATCCCAAAGAATCTAAAACAAATGAACTCTCCATGCCCACAAGGGGCCATGTTTTCATTCCACTAATCTGAACTATTTTTAGTTACCAAATCCCAAATTGGTGTATTGTTATATTTCACCAAGTGTTGCAGTTTTGTTGTAGTCGGACTCTGGGCTAAGAAATCAATAATACTTAGAACTTGGTACATGACAAGATCAATGCTTAATTTTAAGTTGGCCAGGTATTTATCCATTAGTGAAACAAAGTTACTGTCTTTGTGGTCTTTTTTAAAAAAAACAACCAATGGTAGTGCCAAAAAAGAAGGGCAAAAGAAAAACCAAGGAGAATGCCATAAAAAATAAGACCTAATTCCTAGCCAAATATCCTGTGAAACCTCATCATTCGATTCATTGGCTATAGTGTGAATGACAACTCATTTTCCCTCCAAGATGGAAGGAAATTATGCACATAATTTTATTACATGTAAAATATCAGTGCTGCTCCAAAGGTGCTTCTCAAAAGGCAACTTGAACTTTCTTTGTTTTTCCTTGAAGACTTTTTCTCTTCCAAAAAGCTTCTTCACTTCAAAAGCTGCTTCAGAACTGAATAAGCTTTTTGAATGAGAAGCAAAATGTCTTTAAGGAAAAACAAAGAAAGTTCAAGTTGCATTTTGAAAAAGCACCTTTAGGACAACCAAGACCCGAATCTCTATAGACATTTATTTGTGCTCCTCAGACACATGACTGGGCAATAATACTATTTGCTTAAAGCACCATTAACACATTTCAAATTTTGTATTAGGCCAAGTGAAAATCTTAACGCTGTTGATTTCCCAAAAATTTTCAAGAAGTGGGAACAGAGGACTGGTTGATCTTATCCCAGTTGCCATTTTTTTTTTTTTACTAAAAAAAAAAAGCTTTGTTACAATATATTCCATTCAATTGTTTCTTGACTATGGAACCTAGAATTAAGTATACTTAATCGTAATTTGCCAAAATGACTCATTTAAATTGATTGTGTGTTTTAGAAGGAGGAAGAAGAGGAAAAATAATATTGAACACATAAGAGACAGAAGGTACTGAAATATTTTCTGTGAAATATTTCTGGCCCTCATTTGGCTAGAGCTGAAAAAGATACTATAGGAACTTCATGAAGAGAAATGGATTTTGGCAATGATTCTGCCATTCAGTTTGTTTTATGACATTTTCTATCTCTACAGATATCTGGGGCATTTTTAAAAGATATCTTCAATAAAAATGTCTCAAATGTAGTCTTTCCAAAGGCAACTGGACTTTCTCGTTTTTTTAAAAGATGTTTCACTTTTCATCCAGACATCCAGAAGCTTCCTCAACTCTGACTGGATGGTGGGGAAGGGAAAGATTTATACTCCTTGCAATCAGCTGGTCATTTGCATTCTTTTAGCAAGTCATAGAGGCCACTTGGAGGTTTATCTGTGTGTTCTGGTCACCTGAGTAGTGTAAATGGATGTGTAACTTCCTTGACTGCAGGATGTTTTCTGTCCTGTGTCCCTTCACTGTTGAAGATAGGTGCAGGCTGATGGGGGTGAGTTTGTGCTGTCTGCATCTCAAACTGAAGTGCAAATGATTCCTGTAGTTTGCATTTTTTTCTGGAAATCCATTCATACTCCCACATCATTCAAAGGGTGTTCATCCCAAAGTGCATAGCTTAAAGTCTATGATGATTTTCAGCCATCCAGATCATGGCTGTCCCAAAGGTAGTTTCTTTCAAAAGGCAACTGTTTTTTTGTATTTTTTCTTCTTTTTTTTCCTTTGAAGATGTTTCACATCTCATGCAAGAAGCTTTTTCAGCTTTGACTGGATGGTGGGGAATGGAAGGATTTATACTCCTTGCAGACAGCTAATCATTTGCATTATTTTAGTGAGTTGTTGAGGCCACATCCTGCAGCCAAGGCTCTATTTGCACTACACACAACTATGACCTGGGTGATTGAGAATCTCCATAGATATTCTTCAACAAGGGTGAAATCTAGAAAATGGTAAACACTCCAATAACAATAAAGAAGTGTAGACCGACCGTTGTCTTACCTGAACGGTCCTTCTATGTGTGCTGCGAGGGGAATCCAAGCATGGGTTAACTTTGTCCA